TCTTGCGTGTAGTTGTTACATTGTTTTTCGTTTGTATTCTCGGTACTAGTTTTCCTCTCTTGCCTTTTTTTGGCAAGCGCTTTTTGTTATTCGTTTTTATTCTGTTCTTCCTGGTCCTTGTTCGGACCAGCGCTTTATGTTCTACTTTGTCGATGCGAATTTTGGTATTAAACATTTTTTGTAACGGAGACCTTGTTGGAGTCTACACTTTTGGGATCCAAACTTATTTCGGCTCGTCCGAAACCTTGACAATTTCAGACTCGACGTGCTATGATGATAGCTCAGTTTACGACTGCAAAACATCCAGGTAACTTTGGTCTTGTCAGTGGCCGGGCCTTGAGTTTGACACATGTGTTGTACAGGGTCACGGGGGCTGCTGGAGCCTGTCCGAGCTGACTTCGGGCAAAGGCGGACTACGCCCTGAACTGGTCCATAGTCAGCCTCAGGGCACATCTATAGACGAACAACCATTTACAACCACATCCGCGCACACGCTGCCCACACACAAGTCAGGCGTGTTTATCACTACACCATCAGTGACTATATTAATATTAGTTAGTTAAGTTAGTTCCGCCCGCTCCTATTTGGAACATTGGGCGACGAGTCTCCTCCATCTGTTCCGGTCACTGGCGACCCTTCTTGCTCCATGCCAGCTGACACCCATCTCACTGAGGTCTTTTTTGGCAGTCTGTCTCCACGTCTTCTTTGGCCTACCTCTCTTCCTCTTTCCACCCTCTGGCATCCAGTCCATGGCCACACTTGCCGGTCTCTCTCTTGGCAGTCGGAGTACGTGGCCAATCATTTTCCTTCTCCTTTCAGAGACAATGTCTGACAATTCAGCTACTCCTGACCTCCTCGTTGGATCTGGCCCTCGTTCTGGACAATCGTATACGGGAGCGTGAGCGTGAACGCGGGGACGAACCGGGACATGCCCGTCCTCCGCCCCGACGTGCGGGTGGTCGGCTGACTTCCCGCGGGTCCTGGCAACCGTCCGGACCAGAGCCCCACCCCGGTACCGGGACTGCGGACGCAGAGGGAGAGCCCATGCAACTGGGAGGCGGACGCTTGGGGCCAGAGGAAAGACAGCGCCGGATTCGGGACCGGGCCTGCTTTTACTGCGGTCAACCAGGACATCAAGTTGCCCACTGTCCCGTGACGCCGGCCCGCCTGCCTAGGCGCTCCGAGAAATGTGAGTTTACAACCGGCACTGACTCACGGGAGTCGAGAAAGGAGGAGTCCCATTCGGGACATCCTAATAGACTGGAGCTGGACGGAACTATCTATGGTCCATCACAGGCTTTTCCGATTCGGGCACTAGTGGACTCGGGGGCAGACGGTTGTTTTATCGACACTCAGATGGCAAAGGACCTGGGTTGTCCGGTAGAGGAGTTAGAAGTGGCTAAACAAGTTTACGATCTCAACGGGCGACTCCTGGCGGAGATAAAACGGATCACGGGTCCCTTAATGTTAAAGGT